AGCTGCAATTACACCGCTTGCTTTGCYGGGATCCGGAGCGCGGCGGATTTTACAAGCCGAGGTTCATCCCGTTATTAATCCATGGCATAATAAATGAAAACATTAATAATTAAACCTCCTGCTCGGGTTGCTGTGGAGTGGATCAGCGTAAATCTGTCAGTGTGAAATGAGGAATTTCTGCTTGTGGGAGTTGGGTCTCCAAGAAAAAATCCCTGACCAACCTACTGGGAATTTTTCATCAATAATTTCTCATTTCTTCCCCTTTCTGACCCAAATTCTCATCCTCATTGCTGTGGAGTGAATCACCATAAATCCTTCAGGTGAAATGAGGAATTTCTGCTTGTGGGAGTTGGGTCTCCAAGATAAAGTCAGATCAGTGAATCCCTGACCAACCTGCTGGGAATTTTTCATCAATAATTCGTCGTTTCTTCCCCTTTCTAACCCAAATTCTCATGCTCGTTGCTCTAGGGTGGATCAGCATAAATCTGTCAGCATGAAATGAGGAATTTCAGTTTGTGGGAGTTGGGTATCTCAGAAAAAATCAGCTCAGTAGGTCCCTGGTTGATGTGCAGGGAATTCTCAATAATTTCTAATTTTTTTCCCCTTTCAAACCCAAATTCTCCTGCTCGTTGTTGTAGGGTGAATCAGCAGAAATCCCTTGGTATGAAATTAAGAATTTCAGTTTGCAGGGGTTGAGTATCCCAGAAAAAATGAGCTCAGTGGATCCCTGACCTGCTGGGAACTCTCCCATTTAAAATTTCTCATTTCTTCCCCTTTCTAACCCAAATTCTCATCCTCATTGCTGTAGGGTGGATCACCATAAATCCTTTAGGTGAAACGAGGAATTTCTGTTTGTGGGAGTTGGGTATCCCATAAAAAATAAGATCAGTGAATCCCTGACCAACCTGCTGGGAATTTTTCATCCGTAATTTCTCATTTCTTCCCCTTTCTAACCCAAATTCTCATCCTCATTGCTGTAGGGTGGATCACCATAAATCCTTTGGGCAAAACAAGGAATTTCAGTTTGTGGGAGTTGGGTCTCCAAGATAAAATCAGCTCATTGAATCCCTGACCAACCTGCTGGGAATTTTTCATCCATAATTTCTCATTTCTTCTCCTTTCTAACCCAAATTCTTATCCTCATTGCTGTAGGGAAAAGAGCATCGATGTGTCAGCAAGAAATGAGGAATTTCTGTTTGTGGGAGTTGGGTATCCCAGAAAAAATCAGCCCAGTAGGTCCCTGGTTGATGTGCAGGGAATTCTCAATAATTTCTCATTTCTTCCCCTTTCAAACCCAAATTCTCATCCTCGTTGCTGTAGGGTGGATCAGCATCAATCCCTTGGTATGAAATTAAGAATTTCAGTTTGTGGGAGTTGAGTATCCCAGAAAAAATAATCTCACTGGATCTCTGACCAACCTGCTGGGAACTCTCCCATTTAAAATTTCTCATTTCTTCCCCTTTCAAACCCAAATTCTCATCCTCATTGCTGTAGGGTGGATCACCGTAACTCCTTTGGGCAAAACGAGGAATTTCAGTCTGTGGGAGTTGAGTATCCCAGAAAAAATCAGCTCAGTGGATCCTTGGCCAGAATGAAATCTCCCGGATTTGCAGAATGAAATCTCCCAGATTTTCAAGATGAAATCTCCCAGATTTTCAAGATGAAATCTCCCAGATTTGCGGGGTGAAATCTCCCAGATTTGGAGGATGAAATCTCCCAGATTTCCGGGATGAAATCTTCCAGATTTGCAGAATGGAATCTCCCAGATTTGCGGAATGAAATCTCCCAGATTTTCGGGGTGAAATCTCCCAGATTTGCGAGATAAAATCTCCAAGACTTTCAAGATGAAATCTCCCAGATTTTCAGGATTAAATCTCCCAGATTCTCAAGATGAAATCTCCCAGCAGAGACAGAATTGCCCTTCCCAGCTCAGCCATCCTCCTGTCTGAACACCCCAAAACTTGTGGGAACGCTGCCACCCCACAGGTGATGTGCTCTTTGGGATCACCGGGAAACAGCGGGAAATGCATTAAATCCTCCCCGCTCCGCCTTTCCTAAATGTTGAACAAACATTYATTCGTGCCAGAATTACCCAATTAGCACTGCAATTAGTGACAGGTAAAATAATTCRCATTACTGAGCCCTTCCCTTATTTTTTGGGGAAGCATTTTGGTGGTAT